GCTTCCTCCATCTAGGTAGGCTCCACAGGCTTGTGGACGCTCAAGCAACACACTAACCAGATTTCAGAATCAGTCCAGACAAAAGGACTTTTGCAAGGAAGTAACTCTGCTTTAGAGCTATGCTGGCACTGGGGAGCTGAACCTTTCCTCTGGCATGCACACCTACAGGTATTTAAGGATTCAGTGACTGATTACCACCACACGCTCTCCTCCACGTTCTAAAACCTTCCTTTCCACTGTCAGCTGTTCCAGGATGGTCTTCTGCAGCAATGGTGCATTCGCTCCTCTAACAACAGCTACCAATTCTCCTCCCTGAAAGGTGGGAAAAGCAAATCAGTCAGTAAGTGCTCAAGTAGTGCCCTCTGGGCTCTAGAAATCACCACAGCAGCACATCACATATGATACTAGGTACCAGGCCCTCCTCCCCAACAAGAGTTGCTCTGCTCCAGAACAAGAGGGAAACTTTGGAACAAACTTCTGTGTTGTTCCTCATCAGTCTTAGGATGAACCAAAGCAACTTCTGAGAGGAGTGAGGTCCTGCAGTAGCAGGAGCTGAACCTGAAGACCCTGCAGGGCAACACGTGTCCATGTGCTAACGTGACGTGAACACTGCTCACATGGGCTCCACCAGCTGCAGGACCCTGCAGACACATGCATCTTTCAGTAAGTCACAGGGATCCCTGGGTGAGAACAATAGGGATTTTCATGACTAAGATACCCTGGAGTTCCTGTAACTTTGTGCGATGTCTGCCTTTCACCCATCTGTGCAATTTGAACTATTTTACTTCATTCACACCTTAATATCTCTTAATATTTTTTTAATTAATAAAAAAAAATTACACTGTTCTGTTTCTTGGTGGCAAAGCAGAAGACATTTATAAATTTAAACTCTGGCTGGCTATTCTTATCCATGCAGGACTTGATCACCAGTAGATACCAGCAGATACAGAGCAAATAAAATTGTGCTGTCACACATGAAAGAAAAAGAATCTTAAAAAGGACAGTTGATCCCACTGACAAGTGATATTTATTGCTATGCAACTATTGTAGCAATATTTTCACTCACTGCATAAAACAGAAAGACAGGCTTGCATTTTCCTCTGTATTTTTCCAGAGCATCAATGGAATCAACTTCAGCCTAAAAGGAATGCAAAATAAAACAAGTGTTTCTAGAAAAAGCATTTCTGCTTCCGAGGAATACACATGAAACTGCCTGGACTCAGACATCCTCAGCTGGCTGGCATTCATCCCCCATGTAGAGCAAAACACTCTGGGTCCCAGTCTTACGGGCCAAAATGACCCTGGTCAGAACCAGGGCCACAATCAACTCCCAGATGGCCAGAAAAACAGGCAGATCTCACCCGCAGGAGTTGGAACAGCAGCTCTTGTGGGGCAGGGATATCTATCTCACAGCAGCTTGCCTGAGTGAATCCCAGGGAAAAGGCCTGAAAAAATGAAATCAGGACCTCTTGTCTACAAGGAGCAAGACAAGCGACAGGAGGAGCTGTGGTAGCAGCAGTAGTGCTGAGCAGTGGCCTCCATGAGATACCTCACTGCCCATGGTTCTGTCAGCAATTGAGAGCTGGCCCTCAGCCAGGGAAGGCATTTAAACACAAAATCACAGCATGACTGAAGGAGGGAGGGACTTGGGAAGGGCTCTAATCCAAGCCCCTGCCCAAAGCAGGGCTAGTCTCAATGTTACAGGGATGTTGCTCAAGGCTGCGTTAGTTTTGAGCATCTCCAAGAAACAGTGCTCCACAGTATCTCTGGGAATTTGTCCCAGGAATGGTTACCCCTATGCTGAATACTTTGTCTTTCTATCTCTGAAGCAACTTGATCCTATTGCCTACTGTTCTTTTGCTGTGTACCACTGAGAAATATCTGTGTCTGCCTTCTCTATTAATCCCCCACTAGACATCTGTCCCTTAGTCTTCCCCAGGGTGAACAAACCCAGCTCCTTCCAACTCTCCCCATACATCAGAGGGACACATATGCTAATGATCCTGTCTAGCATTACTTGCTTAAGCCGAAATCTAGAAAGTACAGAACAGTTGAAGCCTGAAAATTCTTAATGAGTTCTTGCTGACATAACCAAGTAACTGTATTTGGCAGGTTCACTCACACAAGCTGGAACTCCTGGACTGTTATCATTTTGGCTAAATATTGAAAAGATAAATTAGTTCAGCCTTTAGTTACCTGCTAATTTCAGGGGACTGGATATTTTAAGCAGTGCCAAATTAGATCTTACCACAGCAAAATGCAGGAGATCACTGCCAACTTCATTCCTTACTTTTCGGAAAAGATCCACGACTGTTTTGCATGGACCACACCAGGCTTGAAATGCATCAACAACTGCAAGCAGGAAAATTAGTAACAATTAGGTTAAAATAGGTCAGTTTAGACATAGACCAATAGGTTGGTTTGTGCACTTCTCCACTTTACAGCATAATCATTTGGAAGGTGACTGCAATACAAAGAATCTTGAAAACCCCTGAGGATTGAGGTCCCCTCCTGTGGTGACCTCTGTACCACCACCCTGGAGAAGGATATTTGCCTCATGTCCAGCCAGAACTTCCCAAGCTGCAACTTGAGGCTGTTGCTCCCATGGTTCTGTCTGGAGGGCAGCAGGACTCCTGTTGAGCACTAGAAGGCCTATGGATTCAGTTCTGAAGTAGAAACTATCATATGCTTTCAAGGTTTCAAATGCTAGATGAGAGGATGAAATCACATTATAAAACAACAAGCTATTAACACTGTTACAGAGGAGTCTTTAGAAGAAACATTGACATGGCTGTGACCTTGGAGGTACTGGCTTTTCTACAGAAAACTGCTGTGCTTGAGGCTTGCCTAACAGCCCTCTAACCTCTGCCCTTGGGAACCAGGGCTGTTCCTTGCACTGGGGACAGTCCTGCTCCAAGTGGGTAGCTGGACTGGAGACTCCAGAAGCTCCTGCACCAGCACTGCTTTGATCGCATGATAACTGTCCCACATAAATGAAGACAACTACAACCTCCAGCTAGTCTCACCTCTGTTAGTGTATTTCTTTCTTCCATTCAGGGCAAGAGGAATGAAGGGACTGATTGAACATCCGTATCAGTAGTAACTGATTCCCAACAGTACCGGTATCCTTTTAACGTGGAACAAAAGCAATCCAGTATTTTGACCAAACCCTTACCAATGAGTCCTTTGAGAGACAGCATTTCTTCCCAAAGCTCCTGGCTATTGATGTTAATCTGTGTGAAAATTTAAAGACACAGTAAAAGCAACAGTAAGTCATCATCAGGTACTACCTGGTTGCTGCATACTGACAAATCATTTTGTGCTTGCACTTGAGACAGACGCATCTGCCTGAAGAGGTATTACCTGAGCACTCGGGAAACTCTTTTAACTGCGATCCTCTCACCTCTGAGCAGCTGGGCAGGGCCAAGCTATGCTAGAACATGGGTGGAAGACCTCTGAGAAAAAACAGCTGAAGTCAGATATCCTCACTCCCAAACCCTCATTCCTTCCCCCCTTCCCACATGCTCTTGCTCTCCCCCGACACCAGCTCCGAGAGACCCATCAGCAAGCCAGCCAACTCTGCAGAAAAGCTTACTGGATCAGAGACTCATGTTGTCTCACAAGAACCAAGGAAAGGCACATGGAAGGGGTAGCAGCATTCAGTTAACAGCAAGCTCTCCCCTGTTGAGTGGCAGCAATGACTCGAACATTCTGGCTTCTTGGGGACCCCAGGCTCAGTTTGCAGAGAGACTTAGGAGTTGTTTTGGGGGATGATGGCCTCCTACCAGGGCTTCTGGCTGACTGACCAGAGCCTTAGCTGAACCTATCAGGCTGTGTCATGTATGGTGCAAGAGGGACAGTCTCTCAAATACCCATACAACCTCAGGTGTCCCCCGGCACGCTCCTGCTTTTATGGAAACACAACTCCTTATGGGGCTATGCAATAGATCCGAGAGCAGGGAAGGGCTCCATATATTCCTCCTGCACCTTGGCTTACCATACAGCCCTGCAGGTGTGTGGGTACCACAAAGAGCAGCAGGCAGTAGGGATGAGGGACCCTGAGCTCCCTGCTGCAGCACTCCTGCTATAGAAGAAACACAAAGAGCTACTTTGCTTTCACTTAAAATGGAAGTCTAATATGTAATGATGTTTTAACCACAGGCTAGCAGCCAAAACAGTTAAGAGCCACTGGCAGATAACTGACTGGACCACTTCTCTCTGCAGCCTGTCTGGATCACAGCACAAGAAGCATGGACTGGGAGGATAGCCACATGCACGTGGACGTCCGCTAGGTCCCAGCTCAGCGGGGACCTCCCAGAGCCAGGACGGTGCTCAAAAGCAGCAGCGAGGTGGTGGTCCGGGCTGATCTGCAGCATTCAGAGTGCTGCTTCAGCATGCTCGTCTCCAGCACACCTCCTCCTTCCCTCACACCTATTTCAGACCCAGCCCTCATTGCATTTTATAAGCCAGGTGATTCTCCACCAGCAGTTTCTTACCTTGCCTGCACACAAGCTATACTACTTCGTTCAGATGTTTCAGTCTTGATAAAATAAACCAGTAAATACACAGCTTTCACGATGTCTGGGTACTAGAGGGGAGTCTGAGCCCAAATGTCCTTACCTGACTTACCAGCTGCCATCTAAAGACTTCTAAAACATAGTGACCAACAGAGAGCACAGAAAGATCTAGGTTGGAAGGGATCGTTGGAGTCCTTGGTGTAATCCCCTGCTCAGTGTTAGATCAGATTGCTCAGGGACTTACTCAGACAATTCTATACATTGTACTCATCCTCCACCTCCAATATTGTTATTAGAAAGGAAAACATCTTTGGCATCTTCCCCATCTTACAGGACTTGCCCCTCAGTACATACTTAAAAAACTACAGTAACTTAGAAAAAAAAAAAAAAAGGCTTCTTGAGAAATGTAAGATCTATTTTTGTTCATCCTGAACAATGAAGATTCCCAATAACTTTCTTAGTTGGTATCATTAATCCTAACTACATTTGGTCTACACTGGAAGACAGTAAGTTGCAACAAGGCCAGCTATTTTACAATAATTAACACCAACGTGCATTAAAGGACTGCTAAAATTGTGAAGTCAGGAATTCCAAGAGTGGAAACTCCAGTGCAAATTAAATGGGCTCTTACAGGTTTTCAAAGACATCACAGCAGGTCATACAGCACAGTTGTCCCAGGACCCCGCCTCACTCGGAGAACGGAGAGTTATTCAAACACCTCCATCTGCTCTCCTGTTTAGCACATGACCCCAAGCCTAAATTTTTCAGAGAACACCTGCAGAATTAGGAAATTTAATTATTCCAGTTATCACTAGTGCTAGGACTACCCTCGGAGTGTTTCACAGAATGTTAATGAGTTCAAATTATTTCTGATAGTAATTTGTAATGAGTTCAGCTGTGACTTCTGCTGATGGACTCAAAGCTGGCACCCTTCAAAGTCCTTTATTTTGGATGCCCTGAAGCTGCTAGGACTTGGCTTTTCTCTAATATTACCAGAACTTTTCCCAGACATCACGTCATGTCCTACATGAGGTTCAGCTTTCATCTACAGATATGAACAATCACATTTTTGCAGATCTAGATCCAGCCTTCCCTTAGGTGTCAAAGATGCAAAGTCTGCTTGATGCAATTTTCCCCATGGCACAGGAACACAGTTGGACAAGCAGCAGTAGAAACCATTTTTACCTTAATAACGTGATCCTCTTGCTCTTATACAAACCTACACATTTTCACTCCATGCTTTCCACTTTTAACAGTGAAGAAACAAGGTTATAGAGACCAGAACCTTCTTCAGTATTTCTCTCTGGCAAAGACTGAACTTGTTTCAAAGTTCAAAGGAGACCTTCATAATGTACTTAAGGTATTTCAATGTTTTTGCGTAAGAAACTGCTCTCAGAAGCCCTCTCTCCCCTATGCAGGTGATTATAAAGCATCATTAGGTCACCTGCAGAGTGTAAATAGGGGAAAATTCCTCTACACATCATTGTGAAATAAATTCAAAGGCTGAAAAACCTTTCCTGTACCTCCTTTTCCACCTTTACAGTGATCTTTCTAAATATGTGAACTGGTCAGAAATGTTGAGTGACACTTGCCATTCAGGAGAAACTCCCCCTTCCCCAGTTCCCTACTTCTAAATGTCCTCGGAACAACTGACCCATGGAACACAAATGCATTTTTATCACAAACCTGTGCCAGCTCATAACAGCTCCAAAACGCAACCTGCATCCCTGTAACAACCTCCCTCCGCACCCCATAGTGCTGACTTTAGGGGACAGATTTGACTTGCCATGTTTTCCCATGCTTCCTACCTGCCTTCAGGAACGCTTTTCCACCAGAAGGACCTCACAGTAGGGCTTTGCAGGCAGAATTTGAGATACCCCATGACTGAACTTTGTCCTTTGCACTTACTATGAGTTTAAAAGATATTTTAAAAGCCTGGTTCCTACTGACCTGCAGCACTACCTCCTTTTTCTTTGCAGCCATCCTTCTGCAGGAACAAGGGTCCTTTGAGCAGCAGTCCCAAGTGCAAAGCACTGCAGATGTCCTCTAATTACGTGAATCCAATTGCTGGCCAACCTGCACCACAGTCTTTGCTCTTCTACCCAGGACATACAGCCCGCAGCAGCATCCCTGCCCTGTTGGAGGGAGTGGGATTAGCTCAGCAGTGCTCAAAGCCCAGACACGGCTCTGCTTACACCTTTTTCATAGAGCCGAGGCGCTGCTGCATGGCCTGGATTACTGCTCACTTCTTATAGTCGCAGCAGCCTGTCCCCCCCTTGGCCCCGTGCGGGTGGCAGAAGCGAGCCGGCCCCAGCCAGGGCCCAGCAGTCCCTGTGCAGTGGCTGGCAGCACCCCAACGCTGCAATGGCAGCCCTGGCAACATCGAGGCGGAGCGGCAGCCCAGCCCGCCCCGCTCGCTTCCCAGCGTCCCTCCGACACAGCCAGGAAGTTCAGCTCCATCTCCTTTGTTATTCACCTTCCAACAGCAGCAGCTGGAGCTCCTCTGCTTTCTCTCTGCTGGCCAAACGCTGCAGCCTCTGTGCCCCCAGCCCACCGCACGCTCCCTGACTCATTTTCCTGTCCCTCCCAAACTAGGGGCCCAAAATAAGGCGCGGGATCCAGATGCAACCTCCCCAGCACCGAGCAGAGGGGATATCTGCTGACCCCATTCCAAACACAGCTCGATTTTTGAAGGTCAGTTGGTTGGGGTTTGTTTATTTTCAAGTGAGCACACAGCGCGTGTGCCCAGCACCCCCTGCCCAAGGTGATGCCCATTTGGGCAGGGCTGCTGCTTACCCTGTCCATTCCCATCCTGGGGTTGCTGGGCTCCAGGTGCAGACCTTGGTGGTGCATGCAGCACCCGATGCCTGGTGGCCTGGTCCTCCAGCTGGTCAAGGTCCCACCTGGTTGAGGATTTGGCTTTTGACATGTGAACTCCCCTAGCGCCCCTGGCAACCTGAGGGGATGCTGTCCAGTGCCTCCAGGGGACACAGAGGGGCTGAGCCTTGGCAGGGGCTCCCCTGCCTCCAGCAGCAGCTCAGCAGAGCAAAATGCACCCCAGCAACTGCCTCTTTTTGTAGCAATAAGCCTCCAGCAAAGTCCTGATGATTTTAACCACCACTGAAATTTTGCATGTTTACAACTATCGTGCACTTACATTTTAGGATTATCAAAGACAGTCCTGTTAAACCCATTTCCTAGTCTTCAGGTATCTAATCTCATGCACCTCAATTATTCTTCTGCCTGCTGTGTCACTGCTTCAGCAGTTTCAGCAGTTTCATGGAGGTGCAGCATGCAATGGCTAAAGTCTGTAAAAACAAATTTTAAGAAATATGTTTGCCTTAAGAATATACTGGTACCAGATGCTTTTGAGCAGATCACTTAGCTTCTTTCACTATTAAAATGCTAATCTGTGATTGGAACAACAGTGAAATTGTAAGTCTTGCTTGACTTCTGTGTGGGAGAGACTACTCCAAATGTGGACCAGAGGTGGTGGGGAACAATCAAGTGGACCACTTGTCTGACAACTAGCATGCCAAACTCCATGCAGAATTATGCACTTTTTGACACACGTAACCTGTGAGAAAACTACCATTGCTAGATCTAGATATGAAGAGCGGACATACTTATGAAAATTGATTAGGACTGGTTTTCAGAAGAGAAATGGCACAAGAACAGCAGAAAGCCTGGTGATTTGTACTGTGTCTAGACAAACTCTATAGTTGCTCTGGTTCTGCAAGCAACAATAATTCACAAGACGCTGCTACCTAAATAAAGTTGGTAAAGATCTGGCCAACCACTGAACAAGTTTGTTTCCACTGTGACTCTCAGGCTAGCAACTGTCAGTCTGTAGAGAAGCTGGCACAGAAGGCTGGTATTTCTCCATGAAGCTGAGAAAAATCTAGATGTTCTGGTAAAGTTCTTTTTATTTACAGTATTCTTCTTTTTGTACATACCTATAGCAACATCAAAAATTATTCACAAAGCTTAACTGAATGTAAAAATGTTCTCATCCAACAGTTTGTCCTATCAGTATCCGTGGAAAATGTCAACTGTTCTCATGCAGCAAAAAGATTGTCTGAGCATTGTTTTTTAGTTTTTCTGGTAGAATTTTAGGAAACCACCTCGATACAGATATGCAGATACTTACTCACTTTTTTCCTGAACACCTTTAGGCACCGATGTTTTATAGAATCAAACTCAGTTTTGCTTTTAGAAACGCGAATTGGGGGAGGACAAGAAGATATATGTAAGAACTTGAGCCCCTAACCGTACATAGAAGGAGTGCAAATTTACGAGTCAGATGCACGCTGTACGGTTTTGCATTTACAATACCTGCCTCAGAACTTTTTTCCTCAGTCCAAGCAAAAATATTTGATTGAATTTTATAAACAAGACTTCACTTCTGAGATACTGATATTTATCAAGTTCTCACATATTTTTAATTTCCCTTTTGTTCAGCCCCCAAAGTCCATCATGAAAAATTTGCAGAAGGACATTAAAAAACTGCCAGTCACTTACTGCAATGCCTGGGGAAAAAGTGTCAGGTGCTCACTTTTATTTGTCTTTCAAGCATGGAAGAAGTTACATGAAATGTATATATTCTCCTCTGCAACCAAGTTGTAACAGTTATCTGATACACAGCACATTCAAATTGCAGGCCAAACTGTGGTCACATTTTCTGATAGAAGTAGTTACCTTGGAAAAAAGTAAGGCTGTCACAATTTGACCTTCTGATTAGAAATAAAAGCTTAAGATACTTATCAAAATTGGTTAGCAAAGTTACAGACAGACCTCTCTTCTTGCTGCAGTCCTCCTGAAGTTCAGTGTAACAGAAGATAGATTTGGCTTAAGACATCGGCTGCAATCTTTAGTGTGCCTGTTAGTGCTATGTAAATATAGTGTTTGGAGATTCTGACTATTAAAACTACGGTCTAAATTGAAATCAGGAAGTAGAGAGGGAAGACAGCAAGAACCCTGAACTGCATGAAGGAGAGCTCCTTGCTGCCCTCATTTATTTCTATGCGTATTTGACTGTGAAGCCACTGGGGTCTCGTATTCCAGCCTAACACACAGTAGTCTTCATTCGTACTCATTTTTTTTCCTCCACAGCTACAGGCACAATTTCAGGAACTTATGGACAATCTAGGTTTCTGAACACAGTAAAATCCCATTGCTTATTATCCAGGTATCCAAATCCATGCAAGTGTGTATATCCGCATATACACACAAAACCTGTAGCAACATTACTGAGCTAAAAAAGCAAAACCCCAATTTTTCCATCCCTTCCCCAACTTAATGCACCCAGCTGATCTTTCATGGAAATAATCTGTAAGTTGCTTAACTTGCTTAACTATATCTGGAGGTAAAGGATGCCAAAACAAAAGCAATCCCTATCACTGCTTGCCAGATCCTTCTGGTCTCTTGAAAGTGTAACTTCAGCAACATACTGTTTGCTCTATTGATATTAGTGATCAGCAAATACTTATCACCTGTGAAATAAACTAATCCTTCAGCAATTATCTGAGCAAGTTCTTGGCTACTAAAGCAATAGCTTATGCCTGCTGATACTGCAGCCACCTGTTCCCTTCCAGAAAATTCAACAGTCTTGCTAACTCCGATGTATGAGCTTTTCTTCTAAAAAAGGAAAGAACCCCAAAGCAATCCAGTTGACCCATTCCATGGATTTGAGCATGTCATCGGTACCAGGTGACCTTGTATGGTGGTAAAAAAAACTCTTGGACCTTGTCAGTACAGAATGAGCTGCTTATAATTTGGGGTCTACCGTCTCCCTCTATTTTTCTCTTTAAAAAGTATAATGTAAGTTAAGCTGAAGTTCAGAAATGCATATATTTTACTTAAAAACATTCATCTGTTCAAAATTCAAAATAAACTTTATGGGATACAACAGTTTGGTTTTTTTTTAAATAACATTTCATTCAAACTGTATATAATTCATTGAAGTATTCGTACAGCAAACAATGGTTAACCCTTGAAAACCTGTAGAAAAAGATTTTCACACAAAAAAAAGGAAAAACAAAATTGAGGTATCACACCCACACACATTCACCCAAGCACACGCGCACACTCGAGCACACCCACACACATCCACACACGCAGGCTGCAGCAAAAGCAGAAAATTGTAGGTCCAAAAGGAAAATGATGACTGATTGTTCTATCTGAAAGTCCAGGTAGCTCAGGGAAAAAAAACCCAAAAAACCAAAACAACCCCCCAAGAGTCCTCTGAGTAAAGAAACTACCTCAAGAAAATTCTCAAGTGCACTGGAGACCTGATCATTTAAACTGTTTCTGCAAAGCAGCTCCCTGCACCTGAGAAAAATGCAGCCCAAGGTGACTTGTGCAAATATAAGGAGTCAGGAATATCTCCTGCTATTCCTTAAGTAGACATGAGGGGTGTCCATAGATTCAATTAGTCTTTGATCATGCAAGATACTGCTGGAGTGCTGTCTTCGCCCTGCAATAAAGGAACAATCTGTTAATTATTGAGGTTTGGCTTTATCATCAACAGCTTTATGTACAATACTATGCATTGTGTCTGCAAGAGAGGGAGGATGAGCAAGTAAGGGAAAAGGAAGCCGAGTGGCTGGCTCCTTCAGCTTGGAAGAATCTAGCCCACAGCGCAGAATTGCTCTGCGTGGGCTGTAACAACTTAAGAATCCTCCTTGCATCTAAGAATAAGATGATCTAACCAGGTATATTAGATGCTCAGTATAAATTGAGCAACTTTCAAGTATGGTGAGGCTTAAGATGTAATATTGAACCTCATTATCCACACACCTTATAAAAAAACCCTTAAGAGCAGTAATTGTGACGAGCAATTACTTTTCTGTAATACAGATGTACCATGAAAAGCAGGTCTTTGAGCTGAGAAATGAAAGAGGTGTCGTAACTGAGAACACACTAGAAGGGCGTTAGTCCTGTCAGGAGTACCAGCCCTACCAAAAATATCCAAGGAGGTGAGAAGGAGAAAAGCAGCAACAACCAGCGTAATACTGGAATTTATGTAATCTAACATTGTGCAACATTTTTGTTAAGAAAAACACACCTCCCAAAAGTCTACGGTTACAGTTTCACCATCACTTCAGCTAAGCAGCTTTGCTCTTCCTTTGCTCTTCACACCTCCCAACCAACGTTGTCATGACTGTGACAGTCTTTTCCAAGATCTGATACAACTCAGCATCCCAGAGGAAAATTTATTTTTAATTCCAAGTTTCCTGCTACCTTCACAAGTCGTATCAGCTCATCGAAGGGGCTGATGAGGCAGAGTTGGGATAGGGTGGGAGCAGGTGGACAGAAGAAACAGGAGGGACAGTGACTTGCAACAGTGCTAAGCACAATCAGCTCCCTGTCTCTTAAAACCAAGGCTTAAGTGTTGACAAGCAAGGCCCATTTACCAGAAAGTATTCTGGTTCATTCCCATTTCTCACTATTTGAAACCCCTATTTGGCTTCTCCATAATTTTCCGTGAGAATTGCTTATTGATATCTTTCATAAAAACAAGAAACCCAAATTTAATGCATTTTAAAACACTGCACAGTTTTGAGTTGTGTTGTCTATGTATGACCTCTTCCAAAAAATCATATCATCTCCTTTAGTTCATGAAAGAAACATGGGTTGTTACTAACTGTAGGTGGGATAATTGCAAAAAGTTAACATAAAAAAAACCCAGAAACTGTCATTAGCTATTTTGGTTATTTGTGTTTATGAAGAAGTTAGATGATCTGTGTAGATACTATGAATACAGAACAGGTTTGTGAAAAGTTACTTACTTAATTAATTAATTAAAGCTTAATTAATTTAAAAGAATTAAATTAACAACTATGTTGATCCTGTATTATCTTTTTAATTCATAG